TATATGTGTGTGTGTGTGTGTGTGTGTGTGTGTGTGTGTGTGTGTGTGTGTGTGTGTGTGGTGTGTGTGGTGTGTGTGGTGTGTGTGGTGTGTGTGGTGTGTGTGGTGTGTGTGGTGTGTGTGGTGTGTGGTGTGTGTGTGTGTGTGTGTGTAATTTATATTGTAATGTATGTATATGTGTATATATGATACTGTTATGATGTGTATCTATGATATTGTTTGTGTTGTTCTAAACATGTTATAATACGATAAATATAACTACATATCTCGAAAGAATAATATCTGCCCGATAAGCAGCGGATCCAGATTCGATTCCTGGCTGAGGTGATACTTTTCGCAAAAACAATAATTTTGAATTTTCACTACGGTTCGTGCCTCCGCCGTTCCCACTCTTCTTGCATTAATGCACAGAATAATGAGATAAATCAATTGGTATAAAGAAAATATATAATTGCTGTTTCAAAAAAAAAAGATTTGCAATATGCAATGACGCATCTTTTTTGAAAAATAACTATGTATTTTTTTTGCATCAATTGGTTTATTCTCATTATTCTCATTATTCTGTGCATAAAAGTATTAAGATATAGTTGCCAAATAATTTACGAACAGTTTACGAGATATTTTATACTTTATGTTAAATTGTATATCAATTTACTCATAACTCAGAAAGTACTTAAAGCTAAAAAAATACTTTATTAGATACAGTTTTGGAAAGCTCTCGAGGTAAGCTACAAGAATATATAATAAAAAATGGAGATTTCTATTTAAAAAACAAAATTGACCTCTATATGATCTTGGCACATTCATCCGAGATCAAACTTATAAGATCAGTAAAAAGACTTTTTGAAACCCTACAACTTCTCTTGTAACATTTTTCTTCTAAAATGCATTCTTGATGAGTTATTTGATCATTTTCATACTTTTGAAAGACCCTGTATGCCTTGCTCTCTTCTTCGGTCATTAACATTAATTCAGATCTTAATTTTGATTTACATTCTTAACTTATAAATTATAAGTACAATTTTAATTTATTTAATTTGATTTATTAATGCACCTTTTTGAGATTGCAATTTATTGATATAATTCTGTCTTGCATTTAACGCACTTTTAACTTACATAATATAATACTTATTAATATATTTTAGAATTTAGCTTTTTTTGCTTATAATTTACGGAAATACATCCAAAAATAATATCATATCTCAGATTCATAATCTCAAATTCATAATTTATTCATCATAATAACATGTAATTTATAAGATATCCAATAAATTTTATTTAAATTATTTTCCAATAGATTTTATTTAAAATTATTAATTTGCAAAAACTTTATATATTATATAATTCTCAAGTGTTAATTAAAATTCTTTCTGTTTGAGACAATAAAGTTGCTAATTTAGTTTGCTCTTTCTCAGAACGAAGTCTTGAAATAATAGAAAACGCTACGACAAGAGGATAGATGGATAAAAAAAGGGAAAAAAATTAGCTGAAGGTCTCATGATCGCTCGATTCTTCGAATTGAGTTATCAAGGAATATCAAATGCAACTAATCAAGCAAGATAAAACCGCCACGTAAACAATTACCGTCTCTCTCCTCTACTCATTCTCTCTGAATTGACGCAACCCTCGGCTTTCTCTCGTCTCATTTTCATCGTCGCCATGGAAAAGCCGATAAGCCGGCTATGGAGAATATTTTAATACCGCTCCCATAATGAATCCCTCTGCCGCATAATTAGGATTATTAATCCACGCTGTATATTGTGTATCGAGGATCGTTAAGCGTACCGCATTAATGGGTTGCAACTGTTTCTCAGCATCGCAATTTGCTTCGCGACTCAAATGTTTCCCTGGCATGATCAGTGAGTACGTCACGCCAATAGTGTGTTAAATGTTTGCGTAACATTTCTGCTGCGTTTCCCGCAGTTTCCCGCAGTGTTGATCGTGCAATTTTATTATTGATATAAATCAGATTTTAACAGCAGATTTTAACAGCTGCATCTGATTTTTACTTTAACGTCACGTTGAGTAGTTTATGAATTAATTTAAATAAAACAAAAGTCAAATGTCACTCTCATTTTTGGGATCAATTTTTACCTAAAAAAAAAAAAAAAAAAATTAAAGAGCTTACAGTGTTTAAATAATTCTAAATATAAGGATCGAAAATAAAAGAAAGGAAAATAGGTAATAAAATAAAATAACAAATTTCGGAAATTTCGATGGACAATTTAAGGGAACTTTAATTTAAATTTAAGCATCAAAGACTTCGCAATGTTAAAAATAAGAATGCAATAAATAATAATGCAGATTTTCTTAACGAACTGTCGATCAAATTGTTTAAAGAGACTACGAAGCGAAACGGATATCAAATGTCTCTAAGATAATCTATGAAATTATATTTATCGCATTCCGTTATCACGTTGTTGTCATGTTGTATTGTTGTCAACATACTAAGGCTATTAGAATATTATGTAATGCGTGGAGCAATAGAGAATTATCCGGCTTAGTCCCCGCGACCATCGCGCTAGTGGTTGTTTACTCGCTTCGCGTCAACGTTCCCTCGTTTCCGACGAATGACAGAACGCGCTTTTATTCCAAGTACAATCCGTTAGAGACGGCTAATGAGATATCGGTAAGCAAATTAGTCAATAGGCAGAGGTGCCCTGTCACAGGTAACGGCGGCGGCGCTACTGCCCCCTCCCCCCCCCCCGTTGTCATTCGCGCCATCCGCAGCAACAGGGTCTGGATTAATACGCGTAATTTGATTTTCATCATCCCCTATATATAACAGGGTACCACGCGCCACAAAGGGTTGCTCTCGCACCGACAACGAGGCAGCAGTTTGACCGCGAACGTCGCGTCGTTTTTTTTTTTTTCTTCGCGAGACACCGTCGTTTGGAAACTACGTAGAATTTACATCGTGGCCGCGTCGTCATCGGTGTATCGGTGAAAAAAAAAAAAAAAAAATAATAATTCTGATAATTCTTGGTGTGCAAGAAGCTTGGATTGGAGGTAATTGTTGTTGAATAGAAAAATGAATTAAACGCTTCAAGATGAGCGACATAAGGAACGAGAAGAACATGGAGGCTACAGCCCAGGACGATTATGTCCTTCATCTCCCACGTCCTCTCAGTATTGAGGAAAAGAAGTACCTGTTGGCCGTGGAGAGAGGTGACTTGCCCAATGTGAAGAGACTTCTGCAACTTGCAAATAAGGTCAAAGTCAAAATATAAAAATTTACTCTCTCTCTCTTAATTGAAAGCAAATTTTTAACAAATTTTTAATATGAAAAATTACCTGTTTTCGATAAGTCGATAAAATTTATTGAAAATGGACATTAAAATTTTATTTTATTAAGACTTAGAATTAATATAATTAATTATATTACACTGAAAGAGAAAAAAATGCTGTTGAATCAACAACATTAGTCTAATTGAAAATAATTCTGTTAATTCAATGACATTATTAATGAAGCAAAGATCTTGATCATTAAAACAAGAGCATGACATATTTGTTTCATTAATAAATGTCATTGAATTAGCAAAATTATTTTTGTCTCATTGTAATATTATATTAATTCTAAAGCCTTAATAAAATATAATAAATTATATTAATAATTAATATAATTAATTATAATTTAATTACATATGTATGCGCGATAAGATTCTGGAAATAATTTGCGAATAGAAAGTGATAGTAGTAATTTTGTAGGATTGAGATATGAGATTTCTCGCGATATATAAATATGCTGAAACTTTTCAGAGAAAAGAGCTAGATGTAAATTGCGTAGACAGTCTGGGTCGCGGTGCTCTTACACTGGCAATAGAAGCGGAAAATTTAGAAATGGTTGAGTTGCTCGTCCTGATGGGAGTCGAAACTAAGGACGCCCTGCTTCATGCTATTGATCAGGAATTCGTGGAAGCGGTTGAGTTACTGTTAGAACACGAGGAACTTCTTATGGCAACTCAAGTGACCGAGAATTGTGAGTCGAAATTCTGTATCCTCCGAAAAATTACGCGTAATAATTTTAACTATTGCGATCGCAAAAATGTAATTATATAAATAATTTTATTTTAGAAAGATATGAAAAAATTCAGGACACGTTTGGACGACTGATAAATCGTATTTTTGACGGTACCGTTGCGTTCTTTGTTCATGTTCTTTTGCATTTTGATTTCAGCCGAGAAGCCGATCATACACAGTTGGCAGAAAGTTGATCCAGCGTCGGCTCGATATCCGACGGATATGACACCCCTAGTGCTCGCGGCGCAACGCAATAATTATGAAATTTTGAAGCTTTTACTGGACAGAGGAGCCACCTTGCCAATGCCTCACGACGTGAGGTGTGGCTGTGACGATTGTCTTCAGGCAACTATCGGTAAGATCCCGATGAACTTTGTTTTTTTTTTTTTACAAATTTAAAAAATATACAAATCATCAAAAAAAGATGGACAATAATGGCGGTCCATCGGAGCCTCGCCATTGAACGGGACCCCATGCCAAAAGTGTACACATTGCGTCTTCGGCATTCAGGTTTAAGTCTTACGCCTGAGCAATGCCGCCTTGCTTTTGTATGTACACATTTCTAAGTGTTAAATAAACAATTGTGCTTGAATAAACAAAAACCGTTCCTCTAACATAATAACAAGTAGATTTTAGATTTATAAGATGAAAAAACACCGACAGCACTCGTACACACAAGTTGGATGTCATATATATCCGGCGCTCGTAATGAAAGGGTTAAAATTGTCATTTAGATGACCCGTTAAGACTGTCATCTACCAGGATTTCC